ATTGGTAATGACAAGATTCCCAAGTTTAGTGCTTTTCACACTGTATTTCTTTTTTCTTTGCCGGTTGAGCAGAAAAAAAAAGTAGTGAAGCACATATAACTTCATCCTTTTATATTATTTTAATTGATTGGGAAAAATGAATACCAGTCATTACAAAGTAAAGCATCTGATCAGCATTGCCACATATGATTACACAAGCGTTGTTTTAAATAGCATTGTTGATTAGTACCTATTCTTCATCTGTAAAGCAAGGAATAAAAATGGTGAGGGAGAAAATCAGTCTTTCTTACCCAATTGTATATGTCCCACTTGCTTGTTAAATGGCACAAAGGTACATTAATCTTCCTATAGTGAATGAGCTTGTATGTACAGTTCATGGGGTCTTGTGCACCAATCTAAGTGAAGCTAGGCAATCTTACATTAGATAAACTAACTGCATCTTGTACAATTCTGAATTACATGATTCAAGAGGGAGTGGATTCACTCACAGAAAGTCCGCATGCAGTGATATATGCTAACTGTTTAATGCACTTCATGGATCATTGCCTCTTAGGGCATAATTAAACTGGGGATAAAAGAGCTTTTACCATAGTCACATTGTAGCAGGAGCAGAGATATCTTGATCCAAGTACAAAAAGGCACAACTTCCCTCATTCTTACCCCTGCTAGCTTGTACAAGATACAGTTGAGTGAGCTTTCTTCTGCACTGATGCAGCTCTATGCTTTTAGGATCCATCTTATGGCTGGCCGATTTCCTACAGGTGCTAAAAGGGATGCTGCGTCAACTGAGATGGAAGCCACCTTTATTGAAAACCTCAAATATGCTGCTGACATCTTGGAACAAGTATGGACTGAGTGGAAATGGGAGAATTACCAGATTGCCATGTTTCTTCCAGAAAGGGAAAGGATTCCATTTAATACTGATTTTGGGGGGAGAGGGGGGGGGGAGTTTTACTCTCCAGATGTTGCTGAACTGCAACTGTTCCACCTGCCAGAGCCAAACTGGCTACTGGGGTTAAGCTCTCCTGGATTCCCAATTTCCAAGAATTCCACAGAATCAAAAGAATAGCAAGACTGCTCAGAAAAGCCATAATCCAATTACAGATAGACCTCCTCTTATTGTCTTGTGCAATGTTTAGAGTTACAGTAGTGCTACAAAAAAACCCTTTGCAACCAGGGAACACATTTACAACTTTTGCAGTCTCTCTCTCTCTCCATCATATATTTGCCATTACAGTAGATCAGTAGACAGTACTAGAAACTGTCCTGTGTCTCATCCGTTCCCCCCACACCCTTATGGAGTGGGGGACATTGCCTAAACAAGTGATCTGTTTAGGCAATTTCTCCTTTGTCTGAACCATTTTTCCTTCCTCCCCTCCTGCTAAGTGGTTTGCATAGTAAGCTATTTCCCACTGAGTGCCTTACTCTCTTGTAATCCTTTCTTCTCCAATGAATGTAAATACAAATGTGATTTCCCTTTTGCCAATTATCTCAGCATTGGGGTAAGCATTCCAAAAGGTGAAGGAATGGGGGAGGGGGGACATAAGTAAAATTATAAGCAGTCTCAGTCTTGTGATTTTTTCCTCTTAATAGCTGTGTTACCTAGCAACCGAGTTGCCAGTCTCAATTGTGGTTGCTAAATGAGGACTACCTGTGATTCTGAAGTTTATGTTACTAACTCCTGAATGACAGGCAACAAGAGAAAATAGTTGTACACAAGGGACGTGGAATTATCTGTGAGATTAGGCAGAACTGAAACACAAGGGCTGAAGGCTAAAAGCAGATTTTCCATGATACACTATTCTTAAACTTCCAAATTACCTTTCTATGTCTATCCCTGCAGGAAAATCTGATTGGATTACTGGAGCCTATTAATAACCGGATTAGTGATCCCAATTATTTTCTGACCACACCACAGCAAGGTAAGACATGTGAAACTTTCCTTTCCTACGCACAGAATTGCATAGAGGGAGTGGAAGTCTTTCCCCAACAGTTCTCGATTGCACTGAGAAGCTAGAGATTAAAACCTTCCCAGCTACCATCCCACTTGGCTAATTCCCGGTGATTCCTTTAAGGGCAGAAGGTAGACATGCTGTAATGAAAAATGTTGTGGTTACTTGGTTCTTGGTGGCAACAGCCAATAAAACAGAAGGAGGGTCTCATTAGAACGTTTGGATTGGCTGCATCAACAATCTGTGGAATTAAACATGGCCAATCAGTTCCTCTTTGTGTTTTAGAGTTGGCTGTAGTAGTGCTGAGATATGTAGAGGATAAAATCGGTTGATCAACTAAATCTGTATTCTTTCAGCTGCTGCCATTTTGGAAAAGGTGGGAAGACCCAGTTTGAAGCTAGAGCTGGTGAGTACCATTAGGTATGTCTTTTAAGGGAATGTTGGGCTCTTTTACTGGCTAGGGGACTCAGAATAGCCTGCTCACTGGTTAGTGCTGCCCAGGAATTTCAGAGTCACCTGGGAAGCCAGCAGAGGACACACGTTGCTCCCATAACTCCTGCTTTTTCTTCCTCCTGCAGCCCACCTACCAGCATGCAGCCTCCATTGTTTTCCTCCCCAGGCCTTCCCCCCTGCACTCACATGCTGGCCCTCCCAGGGCCTGATTCACATGGAGCCTATGCCAGCCTTTCAAGACCCATTTTAATCCCTCCCCCCAACTCCTTACCTGGGCTTTCCTCTTCTTGCTTAATAACTCACATCTCTTGGCATTATGATGGCAGTGGGGATTGCCATTGCTAAATGATGCATGTGGTCATCTGACATTGCATTTTATGACCATATGACAGCCAGAGGAATCCCAGCTGCAATTGCCATTATAATGAGGATTACCTGGATTTAAAATTAAAAACAACTTCATCTTAAGTTCCTGGGTGCCACTTTAGATTGGCAGGTGTACAGATAGTCCTTGATTTACAACAGTTCATTTAGTGACCATTCAAAGTTACAAGTTCAAAATGTGATTTATGATTGTTTTTCACACTTAACATTTTTGCAGCCTCCCCATGATCATGTGATCAAAATTTAGAGTTTGGCAACTGGTTATATATGACAGTTGCGGTGTCCCAAGGTCATGTGATCACCTTTCGCGACCTTGTGACAAGCAAAGTCTATGGGGAAGTTCATTTAATAACTGGGTTGCTAACTTACCAATTGCAGCGATTCACTTAACTGTGGCAAGAAAGGTCATAAAATGGGGCAAAACTCACTTATTAAATGTCTCACAACAGAAATTTTGGGCTCAATTGTGGTCATAAGTCGAGGACTACCTGTATTATGTAGTCTGCAAAATTAAACTGCTGGTTTCTAATACCATGCGAGAACAGAATCAGGGATGGTCAAATTGGCGGCCCACAGGCTGGATGGGTCATGCACAGGCCATGACCACTCCAACTCTGCAAAGGGAAAAATGTGATATGTCATGTGACAACAACATGACATAGTGAGTTTGACACCTGTGGCCTTAATAGATCAGGGCAAAGCCCATTTTAGCAATGTTGTTTTTCATGCTGACTGTGATCTCTTCCATTCACAGTCAGATAATACACCTCTCCTATTGTTCCCCTATTTGAGACTTTCTGCCCCCCCCCCCCCCCCCCCCCAAAAAAAAAAAATTCAGGGGTAATACTGAATTTGAAAAAGGAGACAAATCATGCCTTGAGCTGAAGATCTACTTTTTGCTCTACAGGATATTTTCCATTGCCAGATCATGGATGGTAATTTGACACAGAATTTAAAGACATTTTTTCCCATTATTGGTAAGATAAAGTGATATGCTCTGTTGCTTGTTTTTTTTTTAATTAAGGGGACAAGGCTAGAATCAGGTAGAGCAAATAAGAAATATCTGATATTTACTGTCTTCTTCTGTAGGACATATTCAAATTGCCCAAGTACCAGAACGACATGAGCCTGATAGCCCTGGAGAACTGAACTTCCGTTACTTATTCCAGTTACTGGAGTCAATGAATTATAGTGGTTATATAGGCTGTGAATATAAACCAAAAGGCAAGCTTTATTTTATGTGAACGGGAAGAATCTTGTTATATGAAATTGATTATTGCATGTTGGAAGCTTTGGCCAACACCTGCAACCTCAAAGACTGGAGGTTAGCTGTCAAAATATTATTTTTGCTTAATGTAAGTCTTTATGGTTCCTCTGCAGGTAACACACTGGATGGATTAAACTGGCTGTTCTCCTACTGGGAAGATCATTGTGTGTAAAAAGTTGGAAAAAATTGAAATAAAGACCATTATAGATGGAGAAACCAACAGCAACAATTGCTGTATTCCCCTCCAGAGGGAACAACCACTCTTTTGCTACTTCCTGAGGTATCAAAAGCATCCCATTATTTTACATTAATATGACGATATTTCTTAGTAAAGTAGGATGCTCAGTATGTTTGTTTTTACCTGGATTAAAGCTGAAAATCATGTCACTCAGTGTTCTGTGATAAAATGCTGCGAGCTTTCTTAATGACATATTCTTCTTTAATCTTTTTTTTAAAGATGCAAAGCATTTGCACCCCAACATTCTGAATATAATAACAAAAACTGGCAAAAGGAGTGCAAAATTATGATGAGAACTCCCAAAGATGCTGGTATCCCTTTTTCTTCCTGCTAACAATTAATGGGAGTGAGTTTGGTCCAAAGGAAAGAAACTCATGTCACTCCAGATGTAGCTCAACAGTGCCACTTGGTGGGTCTAGAAAAAGAAATCCTTGATTTTTTAAAAATTTGCCTTTTTCTTGCATCATGTCCTGTTTCTACTCAAAAACAGCTGGATCCGCAATGTAACATTAAAATCTGATAAGTGTTTGACAGAACTCATGGGAATCCAGGCCAGCTGTCTTAGAATACATCAGCATATCCTATAACAACAGGATAGGAATCTGCCAGTGCTTCCACCCATCTTGACAGAAAGTTGTTTTGGCAAGTAAACAGAAATCTACCCGGCTTCTCCTTAAAAATCAATGCAACAGTCTGATAGGCAATCTGTAACAAAGTCCTTAGTAAGCCATTTAATTTATTTAATAAATAAATTCATGTAATCCATTTATTTAATTTACTGTACACTCACTTAATATAAAACATTCCCACCATTGTGCAGAACCCTTCCCAAATGCTTTAATAGTGTCACTCTAGCCGACTGGCCAGGTCGGACTCCAGTAGTCTTTTGGCCTTTCAACTCAAAGAGCCCCCAGAAACATGGCCCATCCTTCAGATGCCTCCTAGAGCAATTTCTCTGGATAAGCATACCCCGCCCCTTTAAGTGGGCCAGCCATGTTGCTTTCTCTTCATGATTCCCCTTCTTGGCCCAGTCAGATTCAGTGTTCTGACTTCTTATCCAGCAAGATACAGCCGCAGATCGCAGTCATGTCAGGGCACCTCCATTCTAGACTTCTTGTAGATGCCTATGGATCAGTTAGAAGGTCCAACTGTTTCTAGAGCAGCCCTGTCCAGAGGTTGAAGCAAGCTGTGTTGATAACAGATTCCAGGTGGTGGTATGTGGACACAAGTTGCGGCAGAGGGCTTTCACTGTCCTGGGGTTGAACTGGGAACAGCTCTCGAAAGACCACTGCCAGGCTCTGGAAGGCAAAACCAAGAAGATCTACATCTTGCATTGTTACACATATTTCCTGAATTGTAAGTCACCCAAAATCATTGACTGAGAGAGGTGGCTATAGAAATTGGATGGATGGATGGACAAACTGTTGCCAAGAGTACTTCTGGAGGACTAGTGCCCAAAATATCCAAATATATATTTGTTTTTCAGTCTTTATTAGGGTCGGAGAACAGATTCAGATGTGACTGCATAATTATGGTCAAGATAAGCCACAGAGAAAATTGGAGCTGTCTAAAAGCAGTCCGTCGTTCGAATCCAGTAGAAACCCAAAACTCTTGGATTAGTGTCTGCAATTCTGAGTACAATAAATCTCTGGTTAAAACATTCAAGCTGATGGAGTTACTCTAACACTCTATTGCCTCCCCCTTAACCTTCAGGTTTACAGAGGATAAAGCTCTTACTGTTTTTCCTGAATGCGAATCAAGGAATACAAGCACAAAACAGTCCGTGAATTTCTGATTCAGAACAACCTGTAAAGAAAATGCAACAGTGCTGCTTTACAGTCATGGCATACAAAGAGGTTCTAGTCAATGGAAGGACAGGGAAATAGAGAATAAGGTTAAGGCATTAGGGAATATCTAGAAAACCTAAACATCAATTTATGTATATACAGTATATACATATACAAACTGGCTAAAACCACATTGTGTACTGTGCTAGAAAAGCAACAAATACAAATTTCATTCTAATAGCGAAAATACTACCAGTTCGTAAGGGTGGATAATCAGGAATTATTTTTGATTGAACTTTAGCAAGCTAATTAGGAAGGTCCAGCAGGGAACAATTCAGCTGGAAATGTCTTACCAGGTACTGGGTACCAGTATCAGCATTCTGGAAATGGCGACAACTCTGTGGGAAACGACTGAGTAGGACTTTGATAAGACTCTGGTACCAGGAGACAGTCATAGTGAGGAAGCAGCTCTGCCAGGGAGAGGAAAAACAGGTGAAGTGAGGGCAGATACTTTGCAGCATGCAGAGAATGCAAAACAGGCAGACAGAGTATGATTTCTGGAATTCTTTCCAGCATTTTTACTAGCAGTGGCCACGTAAAGTGTGTTTCCCCATGTAAGGAAATGTGTGGAGAGGTGTTAGGATGAGTGCATATGTATTGCTATTTTTGTATTTACATTCACTCTGGCTCATTGAAGAAGAGAGGGGAACCTAGCGTGGCCCAAGCCACTGCCTAACTCCTTCCCACATTTTTCTGAAGTATTCTCTCTGTAGCTACTAGATGTATCTAACTAATTTTTGAACTTGGATCTTTTGCTACATGCTTTCTTCTAACATTTAACATTTGGTCCTAGTTTGCTCAGTTTCTGGATGACTATCCTGCTTGTATCCAGAGTTCTGACTCCTTGCTTTCCAAAGTTTCACTTAATTGGAAAAGGGGTCTTTCTCATTATAGAATTATTAGCATTTTCTTCCCTTCTGAATTTTCTGTAAGGTGAAGTATTGTATGAATACGGACTTTGGAAGCCCAATACGACACCACATTTAAAGCTTTCTCACAGCCCTAGATTAACTTTGGCAGATAGAGTCCTGCAAAGTGAGATGTTAAAACCATGCATTCAGAAATATTCCCAGAATCATAACTAAAATTTTAAGTTTTGTATAAATATATATATTGAACAAAAGCCACCCCACAGTAAAATTCTTACCCTGTTTGTTCTATCTACTTGTTGAACACATTAATTAGCCTATCTGTGGACCTGGCCATCCAAAACTGCATTGCCCCAATCTACCTTTTGACTAACTCAGACCTTCTTAAGCCTATGGGTAAATTTATCCATCCCAAATCCACTGGTGCTCTCTGTCTGTTTGTAATGGAGACAGGCCATCAAAATTTCTTACTTTCATATCCTTTCTTGCTCATAGCCTGGTTCTGCCTACTGCTCTTATTGTGAGGCCCAACACAAATGCATACACAGTAGTACCCTGACTGAGTTCAGCCACTTACCAACTGGGGATCAATGTCAGCAATGGACTTCTTATGCACAGCATCCAACAGCTCCTCCAGCTCACTTAGAGACAGCTTGCCCAGCTTAAGCTTGTCGGAAGCCAAAGGCTCCAGCAAGAAGAGCCTCTTCCAGAGGTTGTCCCGGCGACAGTGGCCCTTGGCACATTGTACCGTTGTGCTGAGCTGTTTCTGGGCAGCAGCAACCTCAGAGGCAAGTAATGGAAATAGTGGGGAGGTGTAGAAGAGTCCTGGGCCCACCTTGACTTGGGGGCCACCTGCATAGAACTCGCCATGATCTTCTATCTCCTCCCAAGGATCTGGAACTTCCTTCCGCTGCCGGCTACCCTCTGTTGTCTCCCATGCCGAGCGTCCTAGGATAGGTTCTAGTGCCTCTCGTTGTAGGCGTGGGAGTTTTTTGAAGCGCCGCATGTCTGCTGTTAGTCGAGGGAAGAGCTCCCGTTGGCTTGTCATGATTACATAATATTGCAACCTGGAAAAGGGTAAACAATTGCCATGCCTTTTGCAGATGGCCCCGTTTACCAACAGCCTTATGCAGAACATCCAATAGCAACATTTGAAGAAAGGCGTCTTCCCCGCTCTCTGACTTGTCCATAATCTGTCCAACCCAATAATCTTATGTCAACCCAACAAGGTAGGCCAGATTAAGAAACCAATGCTACATACAATATGTCAGGACTACTTTCATTGCAGTTAGAGATACCATCAGAGTCTTGCAAGCCTGAATGTGCTTTTTCCCTCCCTAATTTTGTGTAAACTAGGGAAAGGCCTGTCTGAGATATTAGTTTCTTGGCTTAGATGTAATCCTGCTTTTCTGACCATTGCTTTAGTAACAGTTCTTTCTCTGGTCCTTCAAGGCCATTCCCTGCACCTTCTGTACCTCATGGCCTTCCCCTGGATAGTTCTGGGCCATCTATCCACTAATGTACTACAGCTAAACTATATCTCTGCTTACCTTTTGTCTAACATTGTAAGCACCCTCAGTCTTCTAAACGGCAAGCCTGAAAAGTTGTCCAACTTGTTAGTCTTCCCGGCCCGCCTTCACTCTTACCGTAACATGTGTCGGTCTGCCTCGCTCTGGTCTTCAAAGGGCACAGCACTGTGGCACACAAGCAGGGACACATCAAAATCATCATGATGATGCAATCCCTCTGAATCTTTGTAGGAACCAGAACTGTGAACAGAGAGGTGTGGGAATTCTTTCAGTAGTGGAAAAAAAGTAGCTGCAGTTCTTTCCTCCACAATGTTTACTATTAATGGATGGGCTACTATTGCGATAGCTGCTCAACATAACTAAAAGCAGAAAGACAAGAAATTAACCCTCAACTTGAGTGTTGGTATGCCTTTAGCTCAACTCTAGAACCATGGGTTTTTCCTATAGATATAGGGAATATTTGGGGTTTGTAACTTTATTTGTGCATTGTTCAGCTTGAATTAAAAGACATTCACTAGGAACAGTTCAGTAAGAATGGAGTTACAGAGGAAAAGACTAATTGGAAAATTTTAAGTGAATCTAATGCAAAGGATAAATGAGGAGTGGGGGCCTCTGTTCTGTTGTTATACCTTGAAACCATCCAACTAGCAGGATAAACTTTGTATTTATGTTCTCATGCAGTTGTATCTATTAAACTCAGTTATAACATCTTCGAGTGCCATAAGAGACATGAGCCTGCTAATATGCTTTGTAAAAGATGACTGGCTTCCCTTCTTGACTCAATCCTGAATAATCAAAATTCTTAATCAGACGTCATTATCATTAATACAAACATTAGCATTTCAAAAGGATGCAAATATTTTATAGACTTGTTAGAAGTAGGACGGCATGAGCTACTGCAAAGCATAGTCAGGGAATTATGTGTTAAGGCTTAGGCAACAAAGGAATACAACCATAAAGACTCAGCACTTCAGTTGCTTGACTCACCTATTAGAAATCAAAGCAATTGACAACTTGGAAAAGACTGCCTGGTGCTTTGAAGCGAAAGCTTAAAATGCAGGCAGCAAGAACTGGGCTTTACCCTGTGCTACAACTGGAGGGGGGGGCAGAAGGCCTTGTTCTGTTATAAAGAAAGTGGACGAGACAGGTTTTGAACAGAATAAAGCACCCTGCCGGTATTAGACTCCAGCAGAAGCAATAAAGAAGTCAACCAAAAGACAGAAGTAGGAGGAATGTGAGAGTGGAAAGCAATAGCAATCTGAAAATCATGCTGCTCTCCTGGGATTTTCAAAAGGTTCAGAGATTATTAGTTTAGGAAAGGAAGCAAATGTTTTATCTTTCTCTCTCCAGCTATTTGCAATAGTAAACAGACAATGACAGGTTAAACTTGTATTATTTTATACTCACTGAGGACATATCAAATGTAAAATGTAAGGACCAGGATTAAAGCAACCTTCTAAATAAATTATGTTTGGGGTTTTTTTGTTTTTGTTTTTACAAAAACAAGGGTTCTGTTGCTGAAATTGTGGAGGGTGTAAGTAAGATACAGATGTGTCACTTGTAGCATACAATCCCTCTAAAGCTTGGCCATACTCCTCCCAAAACTCCAGAAATTGATAAGAGTTTTTGAAGTGTCATAAAGTTTCCATTACTCACCAGTAATTTATAACAGTAACAATTTTTCATTTAAATATAAATGAAATCAAATTCTATTTTTGTTTTAGCCCCCCCCTCCCCACACTACTTTTGTAAATGTGATTCTACCATATCACTTAGAAATCAAGTTTATCTTTTTTTGGCCTGCAAAATTTGCGTATTCCTGAATTTATTTACACACACACACGCACGCACACACAGCCAGTTTTACTTTGAGTAAATAATTCTTTAAAATTATGATACGTTCATATTATCTCAAATATCTATTTTTTTACCTAGTCAATTAATGCCAAGAAAACCCAAAAATCTACACTGTAAGTTACAGGCATAGCCTTGCCGTTATTGTAGTCATACTAGGTGCCTGATAAATGTAAAGATAAATTGCCTTTTATATGATTGCACTGGAAAATTCACTGCCCAAACATTGCAGGTTGAATTCTGGTAGCAAATAAGTGATAGCAACTTTTACAAAATCCTTAGGAAGTGCATTAGACTCACACACCTATTCCAAATGGAGACCAGTGCATATTCATTTTGCTCAGAGCTAGGAGTTCCTTTCTTGCTCTCATTGCTAGTTCCTGGCCGGACCATGCGCAGGGGTTTCATATGGTAGGTGCTGGCATGATCAGTTATATAATTATAGAGCTGATGTGCTGTGATGGTGTTGGTAGGTAATGCTAGTGTACCTGTTGAAAAAGAGAAGAGATATGGTGGGTTGATTATCAGCATGAAATAAAACTAAAATTAAATATTCCTCCACATCAGGGTGGGGAGGAATCTGTGAGAATGAAAGGCTTCTTATAATCAAAATAATTCTAACCTTCAGAGCGAAGATATTTTGTTTTATATTTTATGTTATGGTTGAAAGAACCATGGTGGCACACTGGTTAAAATGCAGCATTACAGGCTAATTTGTACCCTATGATTATCATTAAGTGTTGTACCTTATGATTCTTGACGAATGTATCTTGTCTTTTTATGTACACTGAGATCATTTGCACCCAATGTTCCCTCTAATTTTTTTTCAGTGTGTGCAGAAAAGTATAGTGTTCGAGCAACACATTTTCATGCCTGAGCACCTGAAATTTTTTTAGCCATAATTGCCATCAGAGCAGATGTTGGGAGGGGGGCAAGGAGGAAAATGGTCCCCTCCCTCTCCCTCAGACCCCCCCAGGAAGGAAGGGAGGGGAGGGGGAGGGGAAGGGAAAGGAAAGAAAATGGGAAACAAGGAAAGGAAAAAGGAAAGGAAATAGAAAAGAAGCAAAGGAAAAAGGAAAGGAAATGGGAAAGAAGCAAAGGAAAAAGGAAAGGAAAAGAGAAAGGAAATAGAAAAGAAGGAAAGGAAAAAGGAAAGGAAATGGGAAAGAAGAAAGTAAAGGAAAAGAGGAAGGAAAGGAAAAAGAAAAGGAAATGGAAAAGAAGGAAAGGAAAAAGGAAAAGAGAAAGGAAATAGAAAAGGAAAGGAAAAAGGAAAGGAAATGGGAAAGAAGAAAGGAAAGGAAAAGAGAAAGGAAAGGAAAAAGGAAAGGAAATGGAAAAGAAGGAAAGGAAAAGAAGGAAAAGAAGGAAAGGAAAAGAAGGAAACAAAAGGAGAAATGAAAGGGAAAGAGAAAGGAATTGGAAAAGAAGGAAAGGAAAAGAGAAAGGAAAGGAAAGGAGAAAGAAAAGGAAATGGAAAAGAAGGAAAGGAAAAGGAAAAGAAGGAAAGGAAAAAGGAAAGGAAAGGAGAAAGAAAAGGAAATGGAAAAGAAGGAAAGGCAAAGAGAAAGGAAAGGAAAAAGGAAATTAGAAGGACAGAAAGGAAAAGGAAAGAGTGGAAAGGATTGGTACTGCTCAAAAATCAAGTCTCAAGATCCCGTGGACCCCTTTGGCTCAGGCATTCCAATTCCACGCTGCTTCCCTCTCTCCCCAAAGCGAAGGGATCACAGAAAAAATGCTGAGCCCAGAACGGGGCTTCAGATGAGGCAATGCCTGAGAAACCCCGGATGTGCAGAGAAACACAGGCTACAACCAAATCCCGTTTTCCCAAGAACTGACAAAGCCCCAGAGGACCAATGGGAATTCTCCCTTCTGCAGCATCATCGAGTTCAGAAGGGAGGGAAGGGGGATATTTTCAGTCACATTTAAAGACATTAAAAAACACTGTGCTGCAGTTTGAAACTTGTGCGCGGTGTTTTTTTGTTACCTGCACGGCCGCGCACACGCCCAGCTTAGAGGGAACGCTGTATGCACCAAAGAAAAATTCCTTGTATGTCCAATCACACTTGGCCAATAAAGAATTTTATTCTATCTATTCTATTCTATCTAATTCAGCCAACTGCCGGCAGTTCGGGTCTCACGGGCTCAAGGTTGACTCAGTCTTCCATCCTTTCGAGGTCAGTAAAATGACTCAGATTGTTGGGGGCAATATGCTGACTCTGTAAACCGCTTAAGGAGCGCTGCAAAGCACTATGAAGTGGTATATAAGTTTAAGTGCTATTGCTATGTCATCATCATTTACACACCTGCTTTTTTTGTATTCTTTAATTAGATGTGACAACAATGCAGTTGCTCCTATTGCTTGTTTCTTAGCTATCTTTTGTAGGGATTTGTAAGAGAGTGCCTCCCAGATTTCTTGTACCACCTGAATTTTATATAAACTCTATTGTTTTATTTAAAAAATGATTTGATGAAAAACGAGCAGGATGCAAAGAAATCACCAGTCTTCAACGTAATTCTGAAGTGTAAACCCATTAGGTTGTCTTATAAGTAAAACTTTTGGATGGCTACATTGTTTAGAATTGTTCTTACTTGCCATGGAAAAGCCAACATAGAAGTTGCTGGAAATATTCTGCAGGATTAATAGTACACTGAGCAACCTCAATGTACTTTTTGTGACTAAACAGCCTTGGTCTTTTAATACAAATGAGAGATGATACTACAAGATATAAGGGCAACTATAAATTTTTTATATATTGGTGTAGCCCTGCTCATATAATATATTGATTTATGCAAAATTACTTTAGAAAATAATTACCTGGAAATGAGACATGAAATAAACCTGGATTGTTTCTTATCCATTTGTAAACTGTCTTTAGACAATTGGCTAAAAAGACAGTGCATCACAAAATGTAAATGGCAATAAAAATATTGATAATGCCCTTGTGATACTCCACCCATTTCCCCTGAGCTGTAAACCTGCAAAGTGACACAGAGCTATTCAGATGGGCCTGTCCCTTCTGAAAGATCTCCCCAAACACTCTGCTGGAATCCTCACCCTGAAATATGTGGTTGCGTCCAAACTTGGGGATGTCAGGATGTTGGGTAATGAAGTCTTCCAGGAAGCTTGTGAGGTGATAACCTTGCCGTAATGCCATGTGAGATCCAAGTAGATACTGATGTACAATACGCAGGTGAAAATCATAACTGAATGAATGCACATGCATAAGATCACGTACTTTGTCGCACTCCTCTGTGAAGAGCATGGAAAGCTGAGGAGAGAGCAATCGGAAGTGAGAGCCTAGCAAAAACCACATATCATCAAATAGTTGGGTGCAATGGATCCAAACAGTATTGAGAAAGGGATAATGATGGAAGATACCCGAGTGAATACTCATTTCATTACTAAGCTAAACAACATAATCATTATAGAAATGTGTTTTGAACAGAAAGTAATTTGATCAGTAGTCCTAGTATACTGAATTCTGGGGCTGAAATGCAAGGTAAGATTGTGTGCTTTTGCTCATCTACCAACAGAAACTTCTGGGATTCAAACTGTTCAATCTTTATCCAGCCAGTAATCTAGTTTGGTTCAGAAATTGCCCATTTTGCAATTTGTACAGACAAATTATGCTTGGGAAAAATATCTACAATGTAAGTAGAAATTCTCAATAATCATAAAGGATACATTCTGAAGGAAAAGTTGAATTGTACAGAATAAGTCTGTTCTAATCTCTGCTTCAGGAGAATTAGGCAGGATTTTTTTACTTATTAGACCTGGAAGAATTCTGGTACAGGTCATATTCCATATCATGAGAATGCATCAAACAAGTATAAAAACTGAAAGGCCTCTGATATACGCTGCTGCGTAAGAAAGAAGGGCTGTGGTTTTTAAGTTACTACCGTGTTTCCCCGAAAATACGGCAAGGTCTTATTTTCTTTTTGCCTACCAAATATGACTTGGGCTTTATTATGGGGGATGGGGTTATTGTTTTGGGGGAGGGCTCCCAAAGAGCCGGGCACAGCCTCATGGGCCAATGGCTGTGTTTCGCTGTTGCAGCAGCGCAACACAACAGCCATGAAGCGACCATGCTCACGAGCAGCCACCCGGCAAACCCCCTTTGCAGCCAGGCACAGCGCCATTCACTGACCTAGTGGTATTGCCAAGCCGCGTGAGCGCCTGTTCGCCACCACCCGGCTCCCCTGGCTTGGCGCCTTCCAAATGCCAGTGAATGGCGCTCTGCATGGCTGGAGAGGGGGGTTGTGCAAGTGGGTGGTCCGCTCTCACTCATCCGCCGCCCACCCTCAGGATGCATGGCCCAGCTCTCATTACAGAGCCAGGGCACCTCCGCTGCCACCCCAGCCTGTTTTTTTCCACGGCTTCCAACCCGAGTCTTTTGGCAGTGGCCACTCTGGGCGCACGCTCTATGGTTGTCGTACAACCTTGGCACTTTTGGGATACTGCTAGGTTGGTGAGTGGCACTCTGCCTGGCCGGAGGTGGGGGGTTGTCCAGGGGGCTTATATGCGGTGGGAGGAGGCTTATATTTTTGCCCACCAGAAAAATGTGGCATGACTGTATTATGAGAACATGTCGTATTTTCGGGGAAACACGGTACCAAGTAATATACCAGAAGGAACATTTTAACTAATCACAGCAGTGGTTGAAGCAACAGAAGGTTTAAACTGTCAAAGATAACAAGCGTATGAGGACCTAGTCGTATCTCAAATGCGCATATAACAAATTTTATATGAGGGTGAGAGGGAAAGCATGTTGGGAGTTGCTGGCTTGATTTAATTCATCAGGAAAATATTAATAACAGTAGGTGCCACTGTTAGGAAAACAGAAATGATCTAGGGATCTGCCTTTTCTCAAGATGAACGAATTGTGAATAGAGAAGGTTGTGAACAGATTCAACTAATAAGTACAGCTTCCCCAAATGCAAATGGGCATTTGCATTTCACAAAATGCAAGTGATGTCATCATTACATCTTTTAAAATTACTCTTCACTACTTAAAACATTCCAATTTAAAACAATTATAGTGTAGTTTCTTTTATAAAGAAGACCAACCTCTGAATTTTTGACTGGAAGGATAATTTTGAAATTGGGCAGGTAGAAGGCAGCAGCTCCTAAATGCTCAGAAAATTTAAGTAATTTTTCACATACTTTTCTGTTCTTTTTATGGTTCTCAATCCCAACTCCTACAATTAATGTTCGATGAGTGCCATTCCTCTTCCTCCTCTATCCAAAATTTACTACCAAAACTAAGAAAAAAATCATTGCAACATGGATCTGGTAAAAATATTTACTAGATTATACAGTTTTATATTTATTTGGTTTCCTCAATATCCCAGGAATAGGTTACATTTAGTTTCAAATTTAAAAAAATGTCAGTTTCTGACTGGCAATTAATGAGCAGATTCAAAGATGGAAACCTTTACTTGGGAACAGGAAAGTCTGTCTACATCAGTGGTTCCCAACCTTTTTTTTTTGCCTAAGCATCCTGATCCCCCCGGGGTAACATATAATTCTTACTTTACTCAAAAAGTGAATTCTAAAAGACCATTAACTTGGTTTAAAAAAGGTTCAAATTTCCCCCATTAAAAATCAAATTGCTCCCCTGTGGGGTGTGGTCTCCACATTGAGAACCACTGGTCTAGATAGTATTGGGCCAATTCCTCAGTCATTAGCTATGGTAGTTGAGACTCATGAAACTGGCATCCAATAAGAACTGGAGAATCCAAGGTCCACCCATCAATAAAAAGGAACTTGCAAAAATATTTTTTTCACATTTTGATGCAGTGGACACAACACAATATAAACATTCATTATTTTTTGGATCTGAAGGAAGGAATGTCACTCAGTCGGATCTATAACTGTGCTCACACTATTCTGGCAGACCAACTTCCCCAGTGCAGTAGGAGACCTTGTATAACCAGGTGTAGACATGACCAAACAAAAAACCAACCCGAAGGAGGAATCGCATCCTGTAAAACTCAGTCCACGCCTGCACCTAATGAGATAATGAGAGGTGGTCTGTAACTCTGCGGATCACTGGTACAGAATTTTTTTTTTCCCCAGCAAAAATCACAGCATAATAGAGGAACCAAGATGCAACTGAGATACACTCCATTCTGGAAATCAAAGCTAAGGACTACTGAACAGATTGTCAGCATAACATAATAGGAGAAAAAACACCTGCATTTATAAAAGTTAGAGAAACTCTGCAGCAACAAATCAAGTTTGCAGCATGCTTAATGGTGGAGAGGTCAATATCATGGAATCCCCTGACAGAATGTAGGGAACAGGAATTTTAAAAATAGTGAGATATGGGAGGATGCTCCCTCAAGCTCTGCTGTGTTTTTTCATTGTGGAGGGGGTATTCCTGGGAGGCAAGAGTAAAGGGTGCCAAGAGTATATATCCCAGCTGGGTCAAAGTCTGCAAATCATCACAGTTAACCTAGCTAAAGCAACTAATATACAACAGCAGCAATAGAGGAAACTGCCGGAGGTAGATTTTATGCATTTTAGTGAAAATAGCAAAGGCACAATTTCATACTGTGAGGGAGATGGCAAACCATTTTGCATTTTATCATAAAACCATGTGGATGCATAACCTAAGTGGATTAATGATATAGTGCTGCTTGACAGACCTCTCCGGTTGGATGGTGCTTAACATGGAGCCGATGATCAACAATTAGGCAATTACAAAACTGAAAAACAATTACTAATGTTTATGATGTGGCTATACTGAAGCCTTCCAGATGCCTATCTGCTCATATTGCCATACAGGAAATCTAAAGCTGAAAAGAAAATTACAGTAGGCACATGGAAGATAAGAAGCAAGAACAGTGAAAAATAAAATGAATTGATTACACATTAATATCTTAGACATCAGTGAATAGAAATGGATTGGAATTTTGACTCTTTCATACTGTTTGCTACTCAATACAGAAAAAACAAGGAAAGAGTAGCACGGATTTCATTTTTCAGGATGGTTATAGCAACAAGAGTTAATGGACACAATGCCATCAATGATCAAATAATATCAGTGAGACTTTGCAGACAACTCTTTTACATAACAATTATCCACATTTATGCCCTAACCACTGATACAGAATTTTTATTATTTTATTATCTGGGTTTTATGATCAAGTTCAATAAAAATCAACAAAACATGAAAGCAAGATATGCTGCTTTTGGTTGCAAGGAGGAGGAAAATGTATAACCTAGGAACAGAAATGAAGCAGGAGGATGACTTATTCATTGGTAAACAAAACAATGCCTATATACATCATTAGCAGATGATTTGTACAGAAATCAATTCACTATATTATCATACAAATAGGTGGAAGACCTCAGTAACAACAGTCAAGGTATGGCTAAGAATTGAAATGGCTCATGTACAAGTTGAAGTGGAAGAAGTAACCCACCAGTTTCCACAATATGAACTTGAGCAACTGCCCACCATTTTCGCTGAGAACACTAGGAATCCCTTTGAAGTCCTTTGAATCTCATTGGCAGGCAACCGGAAGAACTGTGGAATTAAATCAAGTAACTTGTTTAGGATGAATGTGAAAAGAGACTGCCAAAAACCAAGAAACAGAAGAAAGCAAACTAGAATGTCAAAACAAATGGTGACATCACCAAGAAAAGACAAACTGAAGCCAAGAAAGAGAACGATCTCAAGAAGGAACTTCAAGAATTTCAGAGATCTGTCAGAAGATAAAAGAAGCAATGCAATGACATTGATAAAGACACCGAAAAATGGAAACAGACGTGCAACAAAGGTAGTCCTCCTAAATATTTCCAAAATTAAGAGGAGGTTCTAATCTTGGACTTGTCTACTAAAGGATGCCAACAGACAGATAATGACTATTCAAAAAGGATCAAACAAATTATTTTTCCACACTTCCTCCACTGTACAGTAGAGATGTCAACAGCTAAGTTACCTCAGAATATATTCCTGTTTATAAAAATCCCTACTACTAGAAGATGAACTCAGATCAACATTCCAGTCATAGCTAAGTCAGAAAACTAGGAATTGATGGAAAATCTATAGAAATATGAGAAGCAACAGAAAAAAGAATCAGTAAATGTTTTAACAGGACCATGTCAACAAATCTAGAGAATGACACACTGACCATAAAGTAAATGGAGTCAATATACACAATAGCAAAGAAAAAAGGCAGAAAGACCTGCCTTTTACCTGAACAGTCGTTCTCAGTACTTACCTGAACAGTCGTTCTCGATGCACTGCGTGAGAATCTA